GAACGGATGAAACTGGTCTGTTTTTCATTTTCATTCAATATTTCCAACAGGCATTGATACCCATCAGCTTTGGTAATTAAGGGATGCTCCGACGAGGTGCTAAGAGATTTGGGGATTTTGAAATTCCAAAATGTTTGGGGAGATTACAAGAGGAATGGATCTGGTTATTATCAAAAAATGATTTTTGATTTTGTATAATAAGAAATTAAAAAAGTAATATATAAAAAAAGGAGAGGAGTTAATTAAATTAATTCCTACTGAACTTTAGTGTATGTTAGTGCTTACTCATTGAACAAAAAAAGTTTATCCGCTGCCCACTCGTTTATTCAAATGTTTATCTATCGATCACTCCTTTCAAATCTATTATCCACAATTGATGGAAAACTCCATGTGTGGAGACAAAAAGCTGATTTGGCACATTTAGGCCATTAATTTGTCTACTTGGATTAAAAATGCAGCCAACCAAATGACAACTTCTATTTAATTTTTGTTAACACTCTTCTGGGATAAGATTTCACCACCACCCTCGAGATAGGATTTCGAATTTGAAGCACTGTCATTTGATTCACGTTATAGTATTCAATTTTATGACCTTCTGCATTAGCAATCAGCAGAGAAAGTGGGATATGTGTGAGAGGTAATCATCTTGCTAATCAACAATGTCTGGTATCTAAAGGAGTTGGCCCATATTTCAGTATTCCGACCAATATCTTTCTTGAATAATAGTAGAATCCCCTGACAATACTGGAAATTGGGTCAATGAAAAGGAAGAAAATTGGAGTGTTGAGTTATTCATAGAAAAGGAAAAGAAAAAAACTCCTGAACTTTCCTAGAATTTTCTTTATAATGCAATACACAATGGTTGCCGAAGGCTTGTGCAATGGTTGTTTGTTTAATAGTCCTTGAAACTCTTGACAAAAACAAGCCATGAAAGATATGGGTTTGAGGCCATGAAAGGAAAATGAAAATGAAAATGGAAAATGACAATGGGAGGATGATTTGGGTATAGGTTAGGCAATTGGGGTTTTTTTGATTTGTGGGGTTTTTGATTTTAAGGTTTAGAAAAAAGTTGTTCACAAAAATTAAACAAAAGTTGTCATTTTGGTTGGACGCATTTTTTAATCCAAGTGGACAAACAAATTTAATGGTGCAGGAGTTTTTCGTTAATTGTGGATAATAAATTTGAGAGAAGTGATAGATGGGTAAACATTTTAATAAATGGATGGGTAGTGAGTAACTTTTTTGTTCAGTGAGCAAATAGTAATCTAAGCTAAATTTCAATGGTTATTAATTTATTTAACTCAAAACGAGGGAAAATAACTAATGTATTCAACGTAAAGTGATTGTTGTATTCGATGTTCACATGCCCAAGTTCGGTTCAATTCCCAACCATGTGAAATTTTCTTTTTCCTCCAATTAACTAAGGTTTTCAGAGCGAGTTTGAGGCGACAACCTTGTTCCCAACCCCGTCCCCTACTCGGGATATGGAATTTCTTCCCAACCTTGCCCCAATTCCTCGATTAATCAGGAATCCCCTACTAGTTTGGGTAGGTCCCATGGGGATCGAGATAATCGGGGATAATTGTCATCCCTAACCCATAATCTCATTTTAATATTGGGATCCCAAACCAAAATGTTATGTAGCACAATCCTAAGTTTTCTCGTATTGAACAGATATCCACGTACCCATCTATAAACAAAACAATTGTAAAAGAATATTTAAGAAAATAAAAAAAAATATCGCAAAATCCATTAACGACCTAGGCCACTACCCCACTACCCTTTACCACTGGGACTATGGTCTGGGAAGATTATGAATATGCCCTTGTTTGAGTTCCATTATTTGAAAAAAAAAAAAAATTGATTTTGAACTAGTATTTTTTAAAGAATGTGTAGTTAAAAAGTAAGAAAATTTTTTAGGTTTATGTATAATATTATTTTATTGAGAGAATGTGGGATTGATAAAATGAAAGAGAAAAATAAATTAAAATTTAAAGGTTTGTTTGATTGTGAAGGTGGAAAATAGGTGGAAAGAAAATGAATTTCAGGAATTGAATTGCCTAGAAATTGTTTTACCGAGAATTGTAATTAATTGTATTTGATTGATATAATTTTTCACCTTAAAAATGTTGAAATTTTGGATTTTAAAACCAATTCTCACCAAATTGGTGGGATTCCACCAATTCAAAAAAATTGCACCCGTGTGAAGCAAATCAAGAAAAGTAATTTCCTGGAAAATTTTTTGCATCAAACAAGGCAAAATGCAAAGTTTTCCATTTTCCATGAAAAATCTTGGGCTATCAAACAGGCCCAATGGATATAATTATTTTCCTTTTTATGCTTTGCTTTTATTTTCTTCAACTTTTATTTTCTCCTTTTTAAGTGGACTTGATTGCCCTTTTGAATGGTTTTATTAGTGAAGACTAAGTTCCAAAAATAAAAATGAAAGGTTGAAGACAATGTCAAGAAATGAAGTTTGAGGACATAAGTGCATAACGAGTTGAAGAGTGAGGATGTGGCTGCAATTACCAATACACGTTTTGTTTAATGCCCTAGAAGCAAAATCAAATTTTAATTTGAGTTAAAGTCAATAATTAATTTTATACATATTTCGTAATATCAATAACTTTTTAACCATATATTTCATTAATTTTTATCAAAATCTGATTTTAATTCACACGGCAAAGCCATTTTCTTGACTGCTGTCAAGAAAAAATCTTTTCCAGTGTTGAAATGTGACTAGACGTAATAGGAACTATATGGTCCACCCAAGTGAACTCAATTGAGTGTGCCACGTGAGAGTTTCCCTACAGACTGCCCTATGCCCAACATGATACAAGGACTACAACGTGTTACGAATTTACTTTAAAATTACTTATTTTATCAAATATAATTTTCTTTTTGCCAATTTCAAAAATATAATTTTTAAAGTAACTTTTGCTACTTAAATTTTTTTTAAAAATAAATAAATAACTTTGAAACACAACAAAAGAATATTTCATCTTGGCATCTGGAGACACCAATGGGTAGCATTTTCGACTAGCCGAACCAATCTTTAAAAATATGAGATCAGTTAGGCCATTATTAAGTCGAGCAGAAATAAATTAACAAGTTTCTTTATTTTTTGTTTTCAAAACTAATTTTTATAATAAATAAATAAATTTATCTTTTTTTATATAGGTGGTCGCGGACCATGAACCTCTACCCAAATCCAAGTGGTGTGATCTCGAGCCTTGGCAGCTAGGTGCACAATTTTCTAGTTCTAAATTAGTCGGATAGTAATTAATTCACGTACAGATGCTTAGTTACATATGGAATAGATGAGCCTCCATGAATTTACACAAATTGAATTATCCAAACCATTTGAAAGTCGTGCTATCTAATGATGGTATTGGTTCTAAAAGATGTGTCATTCTCAATGTTTTAAAAATCGATCCGGCCATCGATCCGAAAAAGAGAAAAGAATCAAAATGTTGAATCGAGGTCAAACTGGGATCGAACATGTGATTTTTTAAAAATTAAAAAATATATATTTACAAAAATTAAAAAAATCCATTTAAAATTTTAAAAAAATATACATTTATATAGGTTTAACATGTTAAATCGAAAACTAGCACAGGTTTTAATTAGAGGTTTTATAAGATTAATCAAACCAATTTTGGTCCCAATCCCCAAATTTCTCGATTGAACCGGCCGGGCTAGTCTGACCAAACTTGCATCTATCCATATACCATCCCTACACAATTACCACATCACCACCTACGGTTATCATTACTAGGTGTGGCAAACTATCGGACGTTCAGATAACATTATTTAGGAAATCTTGCTTTGGACATTGTGTATCATTGTAATAATCCAAAGATACAAGAGTCCATCTCGAGAATGGAACATAACTTCAATTCAATTTAAGATTTCAATTCAAGATTTCGAAAAATTACGTTTGACAATAAAATATGTCAATAACTATAGCAACCTAAAATTAGTGTGTTTAAATTTTAATATGACTTTTAATTTTTCTACAATTTCGTAATTTATACTAATCTATCTTTTAATTTGAGGAATTTCCTTCATGTTTTCTTGCTTAATTGAAATATTTTTTTGCCTTTTGATTTCCAGCCTATTTGTATATTTTAATTTTGTGATTATCATCAACAATGAAACAAATATTAGTTTTATTGAAAAACTCATTCATGTCTAATTATTTAAATCCTTGATCAATAAAAATTATATTTATTTTAGAATCTATTGTTGGAATACAGAACAAGAATTACTCCGAAAAAAAATTAATTCAAGAATCAAGATTGTTAATAGAAGTTTACATGTATGTTTAATCAAGAAATTAAAAAAATAAATACATTAAATTTACCCAAATTCGATAATGAATTCTTCAATCGAATCACAAAATTTTCAGTCTTTGAATCATGAAATTTCAATTTTGATTTCAAGAATTTGTTGCTTCCGACTTTAAGTCTTCTATGGTATTCATTAAAGTCAAGACTATACTAGTGTGTGAATACCTTCTTTTAATTAAAAAAAAAAAATCAAATTTTAGACCTTCGAAAAATTACTTCAATCCATTAAGCATTTGATAAAAGTTTAAAAGATCACCTCAATAAATCTTCATTTGTCTCTTAAGGTTTTTATAGTGCCATGTTGATTTCGGAAGAAAGTATAGTTTCATGTTTGACAATACATCGTTTTCACAATTAGCACCAACTATTTTTATTTCATTTTTAACATAAAAAACTATATGATTCTTTGAGTAAACATAAATTATTGAATAACAAAGAAAGTACTGTAAAAATTATTCCTAAAAAGACTATTCCAAAAATCTTATCAACAAGATTATTCCAAAAAAGACATTTCTCCGTGTTAATTGACCCCACCATGTTGTATAATTGAACCCAACCACCACTAGACGACTTGCATAGACACAAGTCAATCTCACTTACATTCATCTCTCTGATCTCTTGCTTCCTGTCTTAAAAAAAAAGATAACAATGGCTATCGTCGAAGTTTTTCTAGGTGCAATTCTCACTGTGTTGCTTGAGAAGCTGGCCTCTGTTGAGCTGCTGAAATTTCTGCGTCCTGTAGGAATCGATGCCCAGCTGGAAGAATGGCATACAACTTTGTCGATGATCCAGGCCGTGCTTACAGATGCTGAAAACAAGCAAACAGCAAACGTAGCTGTGAAACAGTGGCTGAACGATCTGGAAGATTTGGCTTATGATCTTGAAGACTTAGTGGATGAGTTGAATACCGAAGCTTTGCAGCGCAAATTAAAAGAAAATAAAGGCAGCACCAGTAAGGTAAGAAAGCTCATCCCAACCTGTTGTACTAATCTATCTTACAATGATTTCATGTTTAATCGCGGGATTGCTTCCAAGCTAAAAGATATTAGTGGCCGATTGGAAGCTCTATCCAAAAAGATAAAAATGCTCAGTTTAGTGGATAATGTGAGGGGGAGGTCTTATAAAAGATTGCAAACAACTTCGCTTGTCGTAGAATCGGAAGTTTATGGAAGAGAGGAGGACAAAGAGAAAATACTCGAAATCGTATTTGGTGTTGAATCAAATGATAGTCAAATATCTGTGATTCCAATTGTGGGCATGGGAGGTGTCGGCAAAACAACTCTTGTCCAACTTGTGTATAATGACGAAAGATTGAAGTTTGATCTGAAGGCATGGGCTTGCGTTTCAGACGAATTTAATGCTGTAAGAGTAACAAAAAACATTCTTGAGGCAGTTTCTTCTGAAAGGTGTGATTATGATAATTTTGATAAGCTTCAGGTCAAACTAAAGGAAAACCTTTCAAACAAGAAATTTCTAGTAGTTCTAGATGACATTTGGAATGAAAATTATGGAGACTGGGACATCCTACGCCGTCCTTTTCTCCATGGAAAACCTGGAAGCACAATCAT